CAATGTTTGACAAAGTGGTTCAAGTGGTAGGATACTTGCCTATCAAATATAAGGCTCTGCACTGAGACCTCAGTACCACAATAAAACAAAGCAACAATAAACAAAGAATAAATATCACATTCAGTCTCATGTGAGAAACAATATAATTGGCTCCAATGGAAAATTGCTGCTTGTGAACATCCAAATTTCCTAGAGCAGAAAAGATGAGCAGCTTTCAGAAATGAAATAGATCAAACTTCTATATATTTTGCAGTACCATAAACTATGACAGAAAAACAACAATGTCATTTGTTACACTGGTAACCTAACCCAGACACTTTAAACTATCTAGCTTCAGTTTTATCACATGGAAAGTTAATTGCTTGAGGTTTATAGATGATGTTTATAAAGAACTCAGCAATGCATGGCACCTACTACTCTCAATAGTTGCTAGTAACTACTAAATTAGCAAGCATTATTTCAGTTAGTTAATTACTTAAATGTTTATGGTACTGAATTTTGAATTCAGGACTTTGTGCTTGCTAAGCAGACATTCTCTCATTTGAACAATGCTTCCAGTTTCTTTTTTTGTGTTGGTTATGTTCAATATAGAGTCTCATTTTATGCCTGGACCAGCCTGTATTGTGATCTTTCTATTTGTGTTTCCCTTTGTCACTGGAATGACAGGCTAGTGCCACTGTGCCTAGCTTTTTTTTTTTTTTTCCGGTCATGGGGCCTGAACTCTGGGCTTGGGCACTGTCCTTCAACTCTCCAGCTCAAGGCGAGCACTCTATCAGTTGAGCCACAGAACCACGTCTGGCTTTTTCTGTTTATATGGTGCTGAAGAATCGAACTCAGGGCCTCATGCATGCAAGACAAGCACTGTACCACTGAGCCACTTTCCCAGCCCTGTGGCTAGCTATTTGATTGAGTTGTAGTCTTTCAAATGTTTATGTCTGGGCTGGCCTTCCACCATGATGTCTAGCTCTCCACCAGCCAAGTAGCTAGGATTCCAGGCTTGAGCCACCATGCTGAGCAGCAATCATTATTCATGAAGAAGAAATGGAAAGAAATAACTTAGACATATACCAGAGAATTTGAGGTGTACTCATTATAAAAGGTTTAGTGTTGTAACGAGGCAGATAAACCTGTCAGTAGACAGTTACATACTCTTGGCCACCACAAAAACCTAGGCTAAATTCAATACCAAGGGCAAGACAGTCTTTAATCCTATACTGCCACTTGCTGGCCAATTATGGAATAAAAATATCTGGAAATCCCTATTGTCATGAAGTCAAAATAATGTGAAACTAAGCTGATCCAAGATGTTTGCACAGTTAGGTTATGAGATTAAAAGTTTTTTTTTTAATGCGTAGGTCAATATCTGCTATGTGGGAGGCTGGTATTGGGAGTATTGGTGTTATCACATGCCTTGGCAAAATCAAGCCCCTTTCTCAAAATAATCTGCACAAAGATTAGAAATGTGTTCAGCAGAATGACTGCTTGGCATGCATAAAGTTCTGAGTTTGAACCCTAGTTACCACCTTGTAATTAATAGTATCAGAAACAGCCATCATAGAAGTAAATTAAATAATTTTAGTGGGGTAATTGAACATACCCTGAAAGCAAATATAGGAAATGCTGGAACAAAAAGAAAAAGGATACCAGATTCATCAGAGCACAGAACTGAGAGCAGAATGGGGATTCACTTTTCCCTTAACTATAACAGATGGGTTGAAATACAAAGTGGAAGAAAAAACCCTCAATATATATTTTCTCATATTCTCTCAACTCAAGTACATGGCCAGGTAACATGAATTACATTAGGTGTTATTCTTGTTGGGGACTATATAGTACAAGTAAGAAATCTAAATTAACAAAAAAAAAACAGTTGGAAATATATACTATTTCAACAGTGAAAAATCGCCAGATGTATTCTCTCTCTGTCTTCGTCTGTCTCTGTCTCTCTTTCTCTCTCTCTCTCTCCTCCACCTTCTCCCTTTTCCCTCTTTCCCTCTCTCTCTCCCTCTCTGTATTCCAATCTTGGGACCTGAACTCAAGGCCTGGGTACCATTCCTTAGCTTTTTCACTCAAGGCTGGTACTCTACCACTTGAGCCACAGCTCCACTTTAGGCTTTCTGGTAGTTAATTGGAGATAAGAGTCTCAGGAGTTTTCCTGCCCAGGCTGGCTTTAAACTTCAATCCTCAGATCTCCGCCTCCTTAGTAGCTAGGATTACAGGCTTGAGCCACTGGTACCTGGCTTGGATGTATTTTCTTAGTACTAATTTATATTACTTTTTGCTGTGCAATTTTAATATTTTAATTAAAAACATAAGGGAAGAAATATATTTTTCCTCAACACTTATGAGTTGATAGCTAGGATAGATTCTGTAATGGAAGATAGATTAATAAAATGGTCGAGTTTATTATGTGCACGGTGAAAATCACCTGAGAGAAATAGTGAAAAGTAGTTCACTTTTCACTATTTTTTAACCACAGATTATTTTTTGTGTGCATATTTGTTCCAGATGTGTTGTTTTCTGAACAAATGACCTCTTCAAATAAGTGGTAGTTCAGAACTCTGGCTTATGCCTCATCTTCAACAAGGAGCAACGTATATACAGAGAAATGACTAGACAAACGAGAGCACATCTGGGCTTGTACAGGTTGGAAATGGGGATGGTTAAGTAGAAGAGATGAGTAAGGTCTGCTTGCTGATTACTTTGGTTGCTGTCTCTGGGCAGATAGGATAGCTACACTCGTTTCCAAGAAAGAAGAATTTATGTCCTATCTTTCAGCTGGGAAGTGGGAGGATAGGAAGAACTATTTCCCTTCTTAATTGACTTAATTAAACAGTATATATTTTTGTCATCAAAGATGTAAATCCTGGTGTGTATCATATCAAACAAGTGTGGAGTCTAATGAGCATCCTTGTAACTACCTTGGAGCTGGAGAATGTCCCTTCCATTCTCAACAAATCTTTATTTGGTGGCAAATCAAGATATTCCTACTCATTTTTTTAAACCCTAAAACTATTGTTCATTGATTACAGTTCTTGTTCAGTGATTAGAGAAAGGCTATTTACAAACTCAGATCTGGCAACGGTTGTGCTTCATTACTGGAGTAGCACCATTTTTATATTTCTCACACAGGAGAATATTTCGAAAGTAACTGCTGAAGTGCTGAGTCAGAGTTTTGGGGACATGTGGATTGTAGTAGTGTGAGGAACTCCTGTGACTATGTAAATATTTATAAATACAAATAAACTAATGGATATTAAATGAGTTAATGTATAAGGGACTAAAAATACTACTTTCTTCTCTTAACTTTGGTATGATCCTTCCTATCATTGACATTTTGCCTGCTCCTCCTTTTACGGAGCGGTTTGAACTCAGGGGGAAGGGGAGTAGGGGAAAAACCAGAGGCCTGAGGAGAGGGAGAGGTTAGAGGGAGGTTAAGGGGAAAACAGTCTGGAGGGAGGAGGAGCCCGGAGGACACATGGACTCCTGAGGAGAGGGTAGTCCGGAGGAGACCAGGACTCCTGAGGAGTCCTGAGGAGACTCCTGAGGAGAGAGGAGAGTAAGGGAAAGATGGAGAGAGGAGAATAAGGGAAAGTGGGGAGTCCTGAGGAAAACAGGATGGAGTTAGCCCGGGGGGAAGGATGGAGTAGGAATGGAGGGCAGGGCAGAGCAGGCCTGTGGAGAATGGAGAGGCCTGCAGAGAAGGAGGAAGGGAAGAAAGGGAAAACCTTCCCCTTTGGAGCTTTGGAGAGGTGAGGTTTGGAGGTTTGCAGACCGACTAATAAAGGTCAGGGGGTCAGGACTGACTACTGGAGGCTTGGAGGTTTGGTGGATGAGGCTGCTTTTGGTTCTGGGTATCTAGCCCCGGACAAGGTAGTCTCAAGACCCCTTTCTGGTGTAAATAGTGTAAATAAACTTCTTTTGTCTACCTTTCACTGTGTGTGCCTCGATGGATTGTCTTGCTCTCTGTAGGTCATAAGTGAACCATGCCTCAAGCCGACTTTTAAATGCCAGTCGCAGTGCTTAAACTCAGGGCATAGGCACTGTCCCTGAGTGGCTTTAGGTCAAGGCTGGCTCTCTTACCACTTGACCCAGGCCTCCCACTTCCAGCATTTTTGGTGGTTCACTGGAGATAAAAGTCTCAAGACATTTTTGCCCAGGCTGGCTTGGAACGGTGATTCTCAGATCTCAGCCTCCTTGCGTAGCTAGGATTACAGGCTCGGCACCTGGCATTTTCTTCTTCTTTTAAATGATAGCACTTTGAACTATAATTAGATTGTCTCAGTTTCCAAGTTGCTGCAGCTGGAGTCGAGAGGGGCTGAGGGAAGGGAAACATCTGGTGGGACACAAGTCCCAGGATAGGCCCACCCCTACAATCCTGAGATCTGAGGACCGCAGTTCAAAGCCAGCCTCGGGCAGGAAAGCCCGTGAGACAATTATCTCCAATGAACCACGGGAAAACATTAAGTGGCGCTGTGGCTCGAAGCGGTGGGGCGCTCGCCTTGGGCCAACTAGAGCTCGGGACAGCGCTCAGGCTCCGGGTTCAAGCACCGCGTCCGACCCCAGCCCCCCAGCCCCCTAAAACTCAAAAGCGAACAACCTTTGTACACTGCAGTGGATAAGACACGATTTGATTTCGGGCGAGTCTTTCCGTTCCCGGGGGTGAAAAATGCAAATCGAAGATCACAAGTCAACGCACAGGGCTCGAGAGGGTAAACGCCCCGCCATACGGAACTCACGGAGTTCACAGCCGGGAAGCGTACCGCGTGTGACGTCGGCAGAGGACCGGCCAGCAGCGCGCGTGCGCTCTGTTAAAGAGCCGGCAGCATGCTCCGCGGGCCCTTCCTGAACTCTCAGCTCCGCCCAGCAGAAGCCAAATCACCAATCACCATTCGCCTTTTCTTTACGTCATCTCTGCGTGCCCCAGCTTTAAAAGCTCCGAGGGGGCGGGCTCCTAGGCTTGCGCGTGCGCCTCTCGGCGCTTTCCTTTCCACGCCGCTTTGGCTTCCTCGCCTCAGCACCTCAGGGAGGCGTTAGGGTTTCTCGGGCCGCCCTCACGATGGGCAAAACTCCGAAGGACTTGGGCTCGGGAGCCCGACCCGACCCGGTGAGGAGCTTCAATCGCTGGAAGAAAAAACACAGCCATAGGCAGAACCAAAAGAAGCAGTTGAGGAAGCAGCTGAAGAAGCCCGAGTGGCAGGTGGAGCGCGAGGGCATCAGCCGTCTGGTGCAGAGCTACGAGAAGGTGAGGCGGGGTGGCCGGGGGTCCCGGAGGGAGGCCGGGCTGTCACTGGGGCCCACCGCGGGGGGGGGTGCTGGGCTGGGAGATGGGGTGTCCCGGAGTTGTTTGGAGGCCTCACAGGGGGCCTGCATGGTGTCAGACTCACAACCCCAGACTCTTCGGCTCAGCACACTGTTCTGAGGTTTAAAAAAAAAAAAGGAAGAAGAGGAAAGGAAAAAAGAAAAAAGGAGAAAACAAATGCGGTGGTACTTAAGGGTAGGGAGACTAATGCTGTGAGAGACGCCAATAGTAAGGCTCAGTAACGTAAATGACATACCGGCGTGATAGAGGAGTAAGCATCCCAGTGCGGAACTTTAGGGGAAAATAATGGAAATAATATCTATCCTTTAAAGTACTATCCATTTGATTTTACAGGATTGTTTTTCTTCTTTTTCTTTCCCTCCCTCCCTCCCTTCCTTCCTTCCTTTTACCCCAGTCCTGGGGCTTGAACTCAGGGCCTGGGCACTGTCCCTGAGCTTCTTTTTGCTCAAGGCTAACACTGTACCACTTGAGCCATAGTACCACTTCTGGCTTTTTCTGTTTATGTGGTACTGAGGAATCGGATCCGGGGCTTCACGCATGCTAGGCAAGCACTCTGCCACTGAGCCACTTTCCCGGCCTCTTTTTTTTTAACCTTATCTGAGAAGTGGATCCTAATGTCCCCATTTTATAGACGGGAAAATTAAGTTTGGAGAGGACAAGAAACTTATCCCAGGCTCTCATATCTAGTAGGTGGTGTAGGGTCAGAACCTATGCCTGTGTCTTTCTAATGAAAGCTGCTTTTTAATCCATTAAGCCAGACTGCATGCCTTCCTCAGTCATCTGTCTTCTCCTGCGTCCATCTCATTCTTCCTTTGCTTTTGTTCCTATCTAAAAATCAGTGTAGAAAAGCCAGACTGACTGCTGGTCTGTTCCTTTTGGTTGTCATCCTTCCCTATCAGTGCAGCTGCTGTTTCCAGATGAATATCTTTTCTAGTCACCATTTTGACTTGCAGATTTCTTTTCCTACCTGAGCTCCTTAGAAATGTCATTACCTTTTCTTCTTCCCCATAAATCCCATATCCAATGATCTTCTTTTTGTGTATGCTACCTTTCCAGTTTGGAACATACCAGGAATTAAAGTCATTCCTTGTTACCCTTGGTATAGCTTTCTTTTAAATGGCATTGACTCCACAGTAAGGTTAGTTAGAGCTTAGAGTTTAAGGATTTGTTTGTCTTTTGGAACTCTAAAGAGTTCAGATTATGATTTGTTCCTGGCTCTTGTTCTGTTAGTTTTTGCTTCTTTTTTCTTTCTTTCTTTTTTTTGCCAGTCCTGCCACTTCAGGCTTTTTCTGTTTATGTGGTACTGAGGAATTGAACCCAGGGCTTCATGCATGCTAGGCAAGCACTCTACCACTAAGCCACATTCCCAGCCCAGTTTTTGCTTCTTTTTAAAAGGCATAGTACTAGTACTTACCTCATAAGTGTTACAGAGAAGTAGTCAGTGCACACTGCTAGTCATGTGAAAATACTTTGTATATATACTTCACATATTATTATTTCCACTGTTGTATACACAGCACTTGAAACCACCATAAAACAAATTAATTGTGGATTTTGTTTTGGATTGTGACTAGATTTGCTAAGGGAATATAGAGGCAGCCCTTCCTTGCTTTCCTTTGTTGGATCAGTGACTCCTTATCTTTCACTTAGCTTTTCTGAGTTTATGTTTTTATTTCTGAATGTGCTGGATATCTTTACCTAATTGAATCATGAGATATCTTGAGATATAATGGAATCATGAGCTATAGTGTAAGTCATTATCTTTTCCATTGTGCCTTAGAAATTCTTCCTAAATTCATAATTCTCCTCATTCAATTTTTACTGCCGCGGTAACAAATTTCCACAGACTTTGTGACCTGAAACAACAGAAATTTATGCTTCCATAGTTCTAGAGGTTAGAAGTCTGAAATCCATTTCACTGAGTCAAAATCAGGGTGTTAGTAGGTTGATGCACCCTATTGAAAGGCTCTTGGAATGGGATTCTCTGTTCCTTAGCTCCTCTTGGCTTATGGCTACCTTACTCTAATTTCTACTTCCACATTCATGTTGTCTCCATCTGTTTGGTTAAATCTACCTCATTTTGTTTCTTTTGTTTAAGGATACTTACATTGCATTTAAGGCCAACCCAGGTTAATGTTGCTTCTTAGAATCTTTCAAAACATCTGCAAAGTCTTTTTTTTCCCCTTCTTCCATGAAAGATAACATTCACAGGTTCTAGTGGTTAAGACCTGAATTTATTTGCATCCTGGTGCTTCCATCTAAGCAGACTACCAAGCTGGAGACAGGAGTGATCCATAGTACTTTTCTTCTTACCTGCTCTTATATCCTGTTTGTTAACATTTCTGATCTCTTTTGCTGCTAAGTTTCTCACACGTATCTCCACCCTTACTGTAACACAAGAGCTGCCATAGAAATACTTAAAGACATAGATATTGTGCTCTAGTAAAACTTTAATGAGTGAAACAGGTGGCTGATGGGCATTGGCTCTTGTGCCTTATACTCTTGAAAGTATTTTCTAGACCGCTGCTAAAATGTTTCTTTCCAAGAGAAAAATTCCAGTCATTCTGCTCTTAAGTAAAACGCTTCCTTGGCTCACAGTTACTTTGAGGAAAATCGTCAAATATCTTTGTGTCAACATATCTAGTGTAGTGAACGAGTGTGTTATTTATAGTCAGAGCTGAAGTTTTGCTGGGCTTGGATTCATAATGTATTTGAGCCTCAGTTTTTACATTCATGACTGACTTCTTTAATTTTGTGAACACTCCTTTAGATCATGAACCTCTAAAGGTTAGTGACCAGTGATTAGTAAATTTTTTTTTTTTTTTGTCGGTTGTAGGGCTTGAACTCTGGGCTTGGGCACTGTCCCTCAGCTCTTCAGCTCAAGGTGAGCCCTCTACCACTTGAGTGAGCCACAGCTCCACTTCCAGTTTTCGAGTGGTTTTATTGGAGATAGGTGTCCCACGGACTTTCCTGCCTGGGCTGGCTTTGAGCCGCGATTCTCAGATCTCAGCCTCCTGAGTAGCTACGATTACAGGCGTGAGCCACTGGCACCCGGCAACAGTAGTAAATTTAATGTTTTTTTTTTTCTTTTAGCACCCAGTAGAGGAATTCCTTGTCATGTGGTAGTATTGTCACTGTCCTCCCACCCCCTTGCCTTACCTGTAAGGGATACATCGAAACGGGTGTTATATGCGGAATGGAAAGGGGTAGTTTAGTGATAGCCACCTGCCCTCCCTCTGGACCCTCTAGCTTTTCCACCTGTATAGGAGTCTTTAATAAGGTCTGTCTCAAACCTATCTATTGTCTAAAGTCAGGTTTTTTTTTTTGTCAGTCTGGGCCTGGGCGCTGTCCCTGAGCTCTTCAGCTCAAGGCTAGTGCTCTACCACTTGAGGCACAGCACCACTTCCAGTTTTCTAGTGGTTAATTGGAGATAAGAGTCTCATAGACTTTCCTGCCCAGGCTGGCTTTGAATCTCAGTCCTCAGATCTCGGCCTCTTGAGTGGCTAGGATTACAGGTGTGAGCCACTGGCGCCCTGCTTAGAGTCAGGGTTTTACACAGGGTTTATAGACTGTGAGGATAGAAGTAGTGGTAGTGCGAGTGGTTGTTTCTTTGTTCCTATGGAAGGGATAAAGGGAGAGGCAAAGGGTGGTGGTTTAGTAACTTGGTCATCTTCTGCTGTAGCTTTAAATATTCCTTAAAACATAATAGAATTTTCTGGAGTAGGGGTTGGCAGACTTTGTGTGAAGGGCCAGCATATTAAGGCTTTGAGGGCCATTCATGTCTGCATGACTGGCTGAGCTATTGCTTCATTAACATACTATAACACCAGGCAACAAACTGAAATTGGCCATTGTAGACCATTGTTTGCAGATCCCTGTTGTAATGTATCAGTAAAATGAAAACTTCTTTTCTTTCTTTGATGACTTCTATCTAAAATGGCACCTAGCTTGGTGTGGCAGTGGCTGACCGTGGCATGCTGGAACATCTTGGCTTTCCCTGTGGTGGGAAACTTTTTTCTGCCAAGGGATATTATTGGCTATTTATAATGTCATTTGTGAACCAGATTTTCAATACAGGTAGATGGCCACAGGCAGCCAATGAGGATCATATGAGAAAGATACATGTCTGTCCTGCTACGTATTTCCTGGATCTTACATAGCCTGTAGGCCAGATGTTCCCTGTTTGTGAAGGGGATGTGCTGTCCTTTGAGTGACCAGCCCCCTTGGTTCTGTCATGATTGGTTAATTGCAGAGGGGACAGCCAGTCTTCCTCTTGAGGGCAGGGCATCCAGTCCTTGTGAGGAGGACTGAGTAGCCGATGGCACCATAGTAGAAAGAAGGAACATGCATCATTTCAATGTTTTGTTGGGAAGATTTTCTGCTAATTGAGATTCCTTGCTGGGGACAGTAGGTTATCTGGATAAAGGATTCTTTAATGCTGTTGCCTTTCCAGTATTACCTGCAAAAACTTGTAGGGATTAACACACTGTTTTAATATTTGCATATTTCTTAATTTGAGAGCAGAGAGTAATCCTGTCTAGGCAATGTTAAGAATTGTGGGAAAATGATGTGTGGACCGTAAATCCCTTTATTGCTTTGAGTGTCATTTAAATAAATGAACCTTACAAACACAGCTTTACCCTTTTGTGAATCATGAATAATTTGGCCACATATTCCCAGATCTGAGCAGTAATTTCTGCATTCATTATCTGTAATGAAATAATTGTAAATGTCTAAAATGAAATTCAGGAAATTAGTTTTATTCCAGTGAGGAACAGCAGTAATGAACATTAGACTAATACATAGTTAAAGGACAAAATGTTACTTACTGTGGCATGGAAGCCTAACCCAGATATTTTGATTCTATTGAAATAATGTCTCTCATTCACTGTGTTCTCAAATGAATAGTAATTAGATTGGGTTTCATGGGTTACTTTTGTGTGGATAAAGCTTTGAGACATTTTTTTGACATTTTGACATTTGTTCTCAACCTATATTTCTATAGCCACCTCAATCTTTAATGTGTATAAATAGAACTATTCTCATCTTGGTTTATGGTTTGTAGTGATTTTGCCTCTTACTTGTTAAACTGTCCTTAAGGATGACTGAAGTAAATTTTCCTCTTACAGTTGATGTGGTAATAACTTAATGCATTAATATTTTGGAGATGAAAGATATTTAAGGTAGTGTGTCCTGTTTGTCTTGAATTTTTTTTTTTTTTTTTTTTTTTGGGGTCCGGTCGTGGGGCCTGAACTCTCGGCCTGAGTGCTGTCCCTCAGCTCTTCAGCTCAAGGCTAGAGCTCTACCACTTGAGCCACAGCGCCACTTCTGGCTTTTTTCTTTTTTCTTATGTGGTGCTGAGGAATCGAACCCAGGGCCTTGAGCATGCAAGGCAAGCGCTCTGCCACTGAGCCACCTTCCCAGCCCCTGTTTTGAATTTTTTGACCAGTTAGGATAAAATTTGTATAAAATATAAATTGATTCGTGTTAGCTTTCACCAAAATACATTTTATTTCAGAAGGAATGATGGTTTTCATTTACAAGTGATGGTTGAATCCAGTCTTATAGGTACTAAAGTGAACGAGGCAGCACAATGTAGAGAAAAAAGTAGTTTATTATCCAGTAGATTATTTTGTCTTATCTGACATTCCTTTCTTTTAAAAATATTTTTTCCAGATAAATGTGAATGAAATTACAAGATTTTCAGATTTCCCCTTGTCTAAAAAGACATTGAAAGGTAAGTAGATGGTCATCTTAAGATATGTTATTGGATTTATTGAGACTTAGTTTTTTTTTTTTTTTAAAGAAGATGGCTTGGACAAAGGTTAACTTGAAAAATTATGCTTTGATAAATAATTTTAATGTTTTGGAAATCTGTAAAATAGTATTTAAAACTATTACCCTCTTTCTGGATCTGTCAAAGAATAGTTAGAAAGGTACCAGTAACTGGGTGCTGGTGTCTCATAATCCTAACTACTCAGGAAGCTGAGCTCCGAGGATCAAGGTTGGAATTTAAGAATGGAAGCTCAAGTTCAGCCTGGGCAGACAAATAGAAGAGACTCTTATTTCCAAGTAATCAACAAAAAACTGGAAGTTGCCACTTGCTGGTGGTTCACAGCTGTCTTCATAGCTACTGAGGATAGGAAAGCCTGTGAGACTCTTATCTCCAGTTAATCGCAGAAAAAGCTGGAAGTGGTGCTGTTGCTCAAGTGGTAGAGTGCTATCCTTGAGCAAAAGGAACTCAGAGACAGTGGCCAGGCCCAGAGTTCAAGCCTCAGGACTGGTAAAAAAACTCCCCAAGTAAAATCCTGCAAGTGGAGGAGCTTAAGTGGTAGAGTTAGGTCTTCAGTTCACACATACATACCCATGCCAAGAGCCTCTGAAGAATTAAGATGAAGTTAACTGTGCTTGTTAAAATAATCACAAGAACATGCTGGGCACTGGTGGCTTACACCTGTAATCCTTGCTACTCAGGAGGCTGAGATCTCAGGATCTCAGTTTGAGGCCAGCCCTGTCAGGAAAGTCTGTGACACTCTTATCTCCAATTAACCATCAAAAAGTTGGAAGTAGAGGTATGGCTGAAGTGGTAGAGTGCTAGCCTTGAACATAAAAGCTCAGGGACAGTGCCTAAGCCCTATGTTAAAGCCCTAGGACTGGCACCAAAAAAAAAGGAAAGCAAAAATGTGTCACTTTTTGTATTACTTTGCTTGAACTACCAAAAGCAAACACCGGACAGGATGGCTTAACCAGTAGGAATTTTGCTGCAGCGTGGAAGCTAGGTAGTTTTAAGATCAAGGTGCTGGCAAGCTGGTTTGCTCTTAGGAAGTGGGAGATCCCTTCCAAGTCTCTTCCTTCCTTGCAGGTGGCCTCCCTCTTGCTACTGTTTTTCTTTCTTTCTTTTTTTATTTTCTTTTTTGCATTTTTAAGTTGTGGTTAAGTTGTTATACAAAGGGGTTACAATTCCATGAGGCAGTGATCAGTACAATGCTTCTTGTCAGTGTCAACACATCCTTTGCTCTCTCCCCATTTTCACTCTTAATCCCTACCTTCAAGTTACCTTGTTCATTGTTTTACATAATGTACACTGAATATAATGACTGCATTCGCTCACCCTTCCTCCTGCTGTTTTTTTGACAAATAAAAATTGTGCATACTTACTATGTACAACATGTTTTGAAATATGTATGTATTTGGGAATGGCTATCATCAAGCTAATTAATATACATATTGCCTCATAAACTTATTTTTTCTTCATGATAAGGACACTTACAATCTTGGCACTGGTATCTCATGCTCCTCATTTTAGCTACTTATGAGGCCAAGATCAGAGGATTGAGGTTTGAAGCCAGCCCATGAAACTTTCAATTAACCAGCAGAAAATGGGGCTGGAGGTGTGGTTCAAGTGGTAGAGCACTAAGCGTGAGCAGACAATCTAAATGAGGCTCCTAAGTTCAGGCTCTATATCAGTATCAAAAAATTTATCTATTGTCACCAATTTTTCAATCATACAATGTATTGCAGCTAGCTGTAGTCATTGTGGTATATAATAGGTATCTGGAACTTGCTCCATCTGTTTAATTGGAACTTTGTGTCCTTGGAGCACAATCTTGACAAACCTATTCTCTGTGCTTTTGTGATTCCACTTAAAAACAAAGTCGTATTTGCCTTTCTGTGTCTGGCTATTTCACTTAATATAAAATTCCCTCCAGGGGGCTGAGAATGTGGCTTAGTGGTAGAGTGCTTCCCCAGCATGCATGAAGCCCTGGGTTTGATTCCTTAGTATCACATAAACAGAAAAAGCTGGAAGTAGTGCTGTGGCTCAAGTGTAGAGTGCTAGCCTTGAGCAAAAGAAACCCAGGGACAGTGCCCAAGCCCTGAGTTCATGCCCCAGTACTGGCAAAAAAACATAAAAAAAATTCCTCCAGACTCATCCATATTGTCACTAGTCATTCACATTGTCACCAGTGCTGGGTCTTGGCAGTCTAAGCCCTGGGCCAAAGCCTCTGCCTTGAACACTTAGAACAACAAGCTTCCACATTTGAAAACTTGAGAATTATAAGTTTTTAGTTCTCAGGGCTTAGAGCTATAAAATTCTGACTTTAAAAGCTAAGCCTGGGAACCTATGGAAATGAAGGTCATCACTATAATGTAGCCATTCCTTGTTTATCTGTAATTTCTATTCAGATAGAGCAAAAGAATCCTCAGTCAGCCATTAGTGACAGGGGAACGGATATACAGGTCAGCCTGTAGTACCAACATACAGAAATTTTCTGAAGCATCTTTCTTCCCTCCGCATTGCCAGGTTTACAGGAAGCCCAGTACCGCTTGGTAACAGAGATACAGAAGCAGACGATTGGGTTGGCTTTGCAAGGCAAAGATGTGCTTGGAGCTGCCAAAACTGGATCTGGCAAGACTTTGGCTTTCCTTGTTCCAGTAAGTATATAGTTGAATAGAGTCAGGTCTTCTATTGTACAGTTTCATAACACTCTGTGCCTTGCAAGAAACGAATAATTATGTAAACATTTGTTTTAATGTTGGGTTTCCCTGGTTAGAATGTAAGGTTTTGCCAGACAGAAGCTACTTCTGTCTTGTCCCTCTCCTCCTCATTCTCTGGATCCTAGCACAGTGCCTTGCACATGGCAGGCACTCAGCAAGTTCTCGTGAATCAGCCATTGTGCCTTGACTGATTACTACCTTCCTGACAGACGCGGAGTGTGGCTGTTCAGAACTATTCTTTGCAATAGGACTTGGGGGCAAAGTTGTCTACCCCTCAGCCTTGCAAGGCTACCATTGGCATTTTATACTTTTCAGCCATTTTAGATACAGCTGAAATATGTGTACTAAAAGAAAATTTAGGCATTTGTTGAAGATTTTCTGGAACCTTGGTAGCTATGCTTTATATCAGTTGAATAGTAGACCTACTTATATATCTACTTGCATTTCAATCACACAGTTGGGCTTCTGATTTGATTTCTACAAAGTCATCAGCACAATCACAATTTTTGTTTGAAGGACTAAAAACCAATTTTCTCTTAAATGCTAGTTTTGTATTTTTAAGCAGTATCTGCAATTAGAGAATTCAGTCACTATCAATATAGTGGCTATATGGATGATGCTAAACATATTGTAATCTTGTTTCTGTTATGAAAAATAGTTTTATTCTGTGGGTTACACCCATCTTTCTCTGATAGCTGTTCTCCTGGGCAGGGGACTGGCATCAGATGAAATACCCTGGAACTTCTTTTCCCTTCTCCCTGAGTTGGGAATGAATACTGTTGGTAGGTGGAAGAAAAAGTATCTTTCACATTGGGTAGAACTTGAGTTTTATGCCTTCTGCTTGATAGTGTCTTTGATTTGGAGGGGCAAGGTAGAAACTCAGGTCAAAAAGCTGACTTTGCTGAGGAATTGTCTTCATGGTGTTGGTTTTGTCTTTAAGGTGTTGGAAGCCCTATACCGTCTACAGTGGACATCAACAGATGGGCTGGGTGTTCTGATAATATCACCTACCAGAGAGCTGGCCTATCAGACTTTTGAGGTTCTCCGAAAAGTAGGGAAGAATCATGACTTTTCAGCTGCTCTCATCATTGGTGGGAAGGTTTGTCCTTTTGTCCTGTCCGACCTCCTTTCCTCAGCAGTCTATATTGAAGCACTGTGGTAGTTGCCAGGGAGGAGTTGAAGGCTTCATCTGTGTGCACTGGCCTCCTGGACGGGGCCTCTTGGGTTGGTGACACCTTGGTGCAGTGACTGTCATCTAAGTGTGCTTGTCATTTTTAGAAGATTCCAGAAAATCCATTTGAGTCAGGGTATCTTAATTGATGAGGCCATGGGACAGGTCAACCAGAATAAAACCACTTGTTCATAAGCTTTGGGAGAGGTAACATTCCAGTATATGGACCAAGTCTCTTTCAAAGTCTTAGAGACTGACTAATTCAGATTTGCTATGTCAGCAGCAGAAGAAATGAAGGTGAATCATTTTGAGGAAAAACCTGTTGCTCAAATTTTGTTCTCCCTTATAGTAAACCTATAGTGCTTGAATTTTCTAGGATCATCTTTAGACTGTAGGACTACATACCTGAATTCTTGAATATCTATGTAATCATACAAAAAAGGAGAAATTCTTGAATATCTATGCTGTCATACAAAAAAGAAGAAAATACCATCACAAACTATCATGTGCTTTTTTTCTTGTCACCCAAATTTAACATTTAATAACAGTCTGTGTTTCTTCTCTTAAGGAGAGAAACCTTTGATATGTAGTACTTAGTTCCAGTCCACAAAGTGTGAGGACTGGTGTGGGAGAGTCAGTTCAGTGCCCCTGAGTCTTGGCTTCAAGAATGAAAGTAGTTCAGTTTTTAAGACAGTTCTAGCGAACTTAATAGGAAATCAAGCATTGAAAACTTATTTAATAGTTTCTTTTGCCTTGAAGCTTTGGGGTATGATTAAGTCCCTAGAAGATGTTAGGTCTTTGCTGACTTTATTTAGTCCAAAGATATGGGCAAGCTAAAGAAATAGAAGGGAGAATATGTTCATTTCTAAGAGTGTCTAAACAGCTAGGATAACATGGGGTATAGCTTCTTTTGAGACATGTATATGTAATCCAAAGAAACCCTGTTTTCAGGATCTGAAACATGAAGCTGAAAGGATCAACAACATAAATATACTTGTTTGCACACCAGGTCGGCTTCTTCAACACATGGATGAAACAATATGTTTTCATGCTACCAATCTTCAAATGCTAGGTGAGTTTAATGATTTCTTTTTTTTTTTTTTTGCCAGTCATGGGGCCTGAACTCTGGGCCTGGGTGCTATCCCTCAGTTCTTCAGCTCAAGGCTAGCGCTCTACCACTGGAGCCAAGCACCACTTCCAGCTTTTTCTGCTTATGTGGTGCTGAGGAATTGAACCCAGGGCCTCATGCATGCAAGGCAAGCACTCTACCACTGAGCCACCTTCCCAGCCCTAATGATTTCTTTTTCTTAAGAGAGAGCCTTAGTTTTACTTAAGAGAGAGCCTTGGCTGGGCACTAATGGCTCATGCCTGTAATCCTTGCTACTCAGGAAGGTGAGATCGAGGATCAAGGTTTGAAACCACCTTCGGTTTGAAACCACAGCCTCTGAAGAATTAAGATGAAGCTAACTGTGCCTGTAATCCTTGCTCCTCAGGAGGATGAGATCTTAGGATCGTGGTTTGAGGCCAGCCTTGTCAGGAATATCCATGAAACTTTTCTCCAAGTAACCACCAGAAAACTCGAATAGCCTCGAGCACAAAAGCTCAGGGACAGTGCCCAGGCCCTGAGTTCAAGCCCCAGGACTGATGGGGGATGAGGGGGAGGAGGGAGGCAGAGAGAGAGAGAGAAAGAGCGCCTTTATAAGGCTTAATAGTGGAAATGATGTAATGTTGTATTGGTTAAGTACTAAGAAGAAAATGATCTGAGAAATATTTTTTCTGACATTTGGGCTCTAAACCTAGACAATACATGGTAGGCTATTTTAAAAAGAAACTTAAAACAAGTGGAATGAAGAATATATATACTTTTACATGTGAAATTAAGCATTTTGGTATTAGGCATTGACAAGATTTGTTTTTTTTTTCTTTTAAGTAACACCCATTTCTAGTAACTTGAAAGATCAAATTGTCCTTTTTTTTTGTTAAAATAAAACATTATTTTGCATGGTGATAGTATCTACTATGTATTTTAATAAACTATTTTATTTATTTTTTAATGTACTGTTACTGGTTCTTGAACTCAGGGCCTGGGTGCTATCCTTAAGTTTTTGTGCTCAAGGCTAGTACTCTACCACTCAAGCCACAACTTCACTTCTGTTTTTTTTGTCTCCCCCCCCCCCCCCCCCCAGTTTAATTGGAGATAAGAATCTCATAGACTTTCCTGCCTAGGCTGGCTTTGAGCCATGATTCTCAGATCTCTGTCTCCTGAGTAGCTAGGATTATAGGCATGAGCTATCAGTGCCCGGCTAAACTTTTATTTTATTTTATTTTATTTTATTTATTTATTTATTTATTTATTTTTTGGGTCCGGTCGTGGGGCCTGAACTCTGGGCCTGGGCGCTGTCCCTCAGCTCTTCAGCTCAAGGCTAGCACTCTACCACTTGAGCCACAGCGCCACTTCCGGCTTTTTTCTTTTTGCTTATGTGGTGCTGAGGAATTGAACCCAGGGCCTCAGGCATGCAAGGCAAGCGCTCTACCACTGAGCCACCTTCCCAGCCCCTAAACTTTTATTTTTGAATGCTTTGGGACTTTGAGAAAAATTGCAGTGATCACCTGGGTTCTGGTATACCTTTCATTTTCTCTAATCTCTCTCTCTTTTTTTTTTTTTTTTTTTTATCAGTTGTGGGGCTTGAACTCTGGGCCTGGGCGCTGTCCCTCAGCTCTTCAGCTCAAGGGGAGTGCTCTACCACTTGAGCTACAGCGCCACTTCCGGTTTTCTGGTGGTTTATTGGAGATAGGAGTCTCACGGTCTCTCCTGCCCGGGCTGGCTTTGAACCGTGATCCTCAGATCTCAGCCTCCTGAGTAGCTAGGATTACAGGCGTGAGCCACCAGCGCTGGCTTTTCTCTAATCTCTTATGTAACTATTGTACCTTTGTTAAAGATTAGATTAACATTGCTATGTTAAGTAAATTAAGCTCCATACTGTTGTTCAGATTTCATCAGTTTTCTCACTAATGTTCTCTTTTTTTGCAGTTCTGAGGATGGAACTTGCACTGAACTATTATATCCTCAGCCCAGTCAATGCCCCTTTTCTGCTCTACAATCCAATTTTGGGTATTACATTGCATTTAGCTTATTATATATTGAAAATATTATAGTCCATCTTGTATTTTCCTTTTTTAGTTCTTGATGAAGCAGATAGAATCTTGGATATGGGCTTTGCTGATACTATGAATGCTATTATTGAAAATCTTCCTAAGAAACGTCAGACTTTACTTTTCTCAGCCACACAAACCAAATCTGTAAAGGACCTTGCACGCTTGAGTTTGAAAAACCCTGAGTATGTGTGGGTTCATGAAAAAGCAAAATACAGGTATGGACTCTCAACAAAAACAATCAGTGTTCTTTTAGTTTTGCATTTGCTATTCTACATTTATATTTTCTAGGAAATAAAATGCATTGTATTCGATGTGCAAAGTATACTATGTATAGCAATTAAAATAACTCAAATTCTGCATATAGCTTTAAATGTTAGAATACTCTAGTATTTTTTTCATGCCTCCACTTCCATCATTCTCCCTCAGAAAGCTCATTGCTTATTTTTAGTGCTGAATAATATTCCATTGTTACACTAGCAAACTGGCTCAAGAGGTAGAGAGCCTGCTTAGCAAGCATGAGGCTCTGAGTTCAAACCCCTGTACTAACTGCCCGCCCTACCCACCTCCAAAGCTAGCTGAATAATAATCTTTTGTTTGAAATAGCATTTTATCCATTCACTTACTCCAGAATGTCTTTATTGTTTCCAAGTGTGGCAGTTAGAAATAAAGCTGCTATAAACATCCATGTGCAGGTTTTTGGTGTGGATGTGTTTCAGTTTCTTACGGTAAATACCAAGAAGTATAGAGCAAAGGGGATGTGATGTATGTGATGTGATTTCTTTTCCTTTTTGTTTTTTTTTTTTTGGGTCCGGTCGTGGGGCCTAAACTCTGGGCCTGGGCGCTGTCCCTCAGCTCTTCAGCTCAAGGCTAGCGCTCTACCACTTGAGCCACAGCGCCACTTCCGGCTTTTTTCTTTTTGCTTATGTGGTGCTGAGGAATCGGACCCAGGGCCTCATGCATGCAAGGCCAGCGCTCTACCACTGAGCTACCTTCCCAGCCCATTTTTTCCTTTTTTTAATGTGAATTTCAAAGGCAAGAATGTGTCTATTTTGTGTGTGTATGTGTGTGTGTGTGTGTGTGTGTGTGTGTGTGTGTGTGTGTGTGTGTGTGTATGTGTATTTGTTGACATATGTATGTATTTTTTTTTTCCTTTCAAGTACTCCAGCTACTTTGGAGCAGAACTACATAGTTTGTGAGCTACATCAAAAGATAAGTGTGCTCTACTCCTTTTTGAGAAGCCACCTGAAGAAGAAGAGTATTGTCTTTTTCTCCAGTTGCAAAGAGGTATCAAATGTTTATTTTTTTTTCCTTGAACTTACTCATGTTGAATCATCCACTTTGAACTATCAAATTGCAGTTAGACAAGTAATTATATTGTATGGCGTATAGTGCTGGCTAGGTGGTGGATATACAGGCAAAGAGAATCCTGTGTTTTGTTATAAAAGAACCCATTGATGACACTTTAAGCTCTATGAGGACAGAAATGGTATATTTTCTTCAATACTGTGCTAGGTACCAGTGAGTCTGGAATATAGTACTTCCAAGAAATAATAGAAGAAAGAAGAATTTCATGTTTGTGAATTTTATCCATAATCTGACAACTGCTAAATCTCTGTGGCAAGTCCTGGCTTCTGTCATAGTGCCAGACTTGTTTATCCCCTTGACCTATGGATATTTCCACTTGTATCTAGAAGACACCTGTAATTTGAGATGGGAAAAACAATTTAAGAGATGCTATTCCTAGATAGACTTTCCCAACTCATTTAACTGCAACCTTAGTTCCTGGCTGGTTTTACCCCCTATTGATAACTCATTAGTGCTGGCCCTTCTCCTAACCTCACACACTCAAGTGCACTGTGGCCTGTGCCTAACCTTCTGTTAGCTTCCTAACTGGTCTCCTCATCCCTGCACTTTCCTTACTTTAGTGTTCCCGTTGTAGAGCCTGACTGGCCTTTGGAAAGTGGAGATTGGAATACGCCATTGCTATACTTGAAACTGTCCAGTGATTTTTGGTGTGAATCAAATTTAAACTTCATGCTTTTGCCACATGTATCTTCTACCTCAGCTAGTTAAAAAGCAGAAATTCAAGGTCAGTCTTATTTATGTGAGTCAGATCATAGAAAGTTTTCATGAATTCAGTTTATACTTACTAAATATAGAACAAATTTCTCTCTTTTTCTCTTCAAAATTCTTTTAGAAAATAAGTGAGCAGCAATGTTTGAAGAATAATCAACACTGTAGAGTACATTTCTGCTTTGTATTAAAAAACTTGCAACTGGTGACATTTCCATTCTTTAGCATGTTTTCTGTTTATCTTGTAAGCTGCACTGCTGTCATTCAGAGGTTCCAAGCCCAACCTTCTCTCCACTCCCAGGTGCAGTACCTGTACCGAGTGTTCTGCCGGCTCCGTCCCGGAATTTCTATCCTTGCTCTCCACGGCCGACAGCAGCAGATGAGAAGAATGGAAGTCTACAATGAGTTTGTCCGCAAGAGAGCTGCGGTACTCTTTGCTACTGATATTGCAGCCCGAGGGCTGGGTGAGCAGACCTCCTGGGCTGAAATTTCTGTGATCATAGGAAATAAAACTTTCTTAGAGAATTGTTTTTGGGAAAAGAAATAAAGCTGGAGTCATGGATCAGTTGGTAGAGTACCTGCCTAGCAAGCACAGAGACCTGAGTGAAACCTCAGTTCTGTCAAAAAAGAAACAGAAATAGACTCAAGCAATTGGACTTGTAGTCCTTCCTCAGAACAGGAAAACTAAGTACCCCCGATAACAGCTACTACATTAAGGATGTGTCAGGGAAACATTCTGTTGTATTTTTGTATTCTGTGCTCTTACTATTTCATGATAATGACATCATAGCATCCTAAGTAGCTGCAGAATCATGAAGATTAAAGGCTTAAGATATGAAAAATTCTTGTTTCTTTGAAAATTAGAAAGTTGTTGAAATTGTAACACATTTAAAAACTTATCATTTCAGTATTATTGGGGTCTGAACTCAGATCCTTGTACTTCTTCGGCAGGTGTTATACCACTTGAACCATCTCTAGCCTTTTTTGCTTTGAAACCTTTTTTGAATATCCTATCATAGTTATTCACTTAGCTAGTGTGGACTGGCCTGGACTGTGAACCTCCTATTTACACTTGTGTAATGGGGATGACAAGCATGCACACCATATCCAGGGCTTTCATAATATTTAGCCTCATGAACTTTTTTGCCTGGGCTAGCCTTGAACACCACCATTTAAGTAGCGAGTATTAGAGGCTTGAGCGACTGAGCACAATTAATTCTTTTTCTTCTTTTTAGCGTCTCCCCTTTTCTTGGATAGAAATTGATATGAAATCCTCACAGAAAAATCCATAATAACTAGAAGTAGTTCTCTTAAGAAGTTAAGAACAGGATTCACTGGCAGTGAGTGAGCATTATATAGACAGAAATATATAGGGAATAATTATTGCTAGGAAGAGGGAAAAGGACCTAGAAAGACATTAACTAGTTCAGTTGGAGGCAGGACTAACAGAAAAAGTAAATCTCATTTAAATTCAGAAACCAGTTTTACAGTTCACTGGGACCTTGTGAAGAATTTTTTTTAGGTTATTAAACATCTGGGTATTTCATTACTGCTTGGACAAAGCAATCTGTCTCTTCTGTGCCAGATATGAAGAAATCTTCACATTCAAATACTAAGTTCAGTTCACTTTGTCAAAGTACAGAAGTGTTTGTCATATCTTAGTTTATGCAATTATGTTATATTTTTAATAGAGTTCACAGTTGATACTTATCAGTTTGATGTGATGGAAAATCCTGGCAAATCATGGTAACATATAAATAGTACAACAGGGCAGAATTTTGAAACTGATGACATTCATTCCTTCTGTGTAGATTTCCCGGCTGTTAATTGGGTTCTTCAGTTTGATTGTCCAGAGGATGCCAACACATATATTCACAGAGCGGGTAGAACTGCCAGGTAAGTGTGTGGCTCCTACCTCTTTTTGTTTTGGCTGGCATAACTATCTAGTAATAAAACATGTATTCCAAGTGCACATATACAAAGAATGGAGGAATGAGGTAAGTGAGTGTTAGTTTGGCTCTTTTCCTTGTGTTTTTTTTTTTTTTTTTGAGACAGGACCTCTCTAGGTAAGCCCAGGTTGGTCTTGAACTTGCAGTCCTTCTACCTCAGCCTCTCAGACCTTTAAAAATAATACGTTGCATGTGCAGTGAAATTTGAGGTTGTGTTCTAAGGTGTCATTGTACAGTCAGTCTTTAGGATTTTGTTTTCTACTGAGATCTAATTAAAACAGTACAGTGGGAGAATAGCTTGTTCTGCTTCCTGTTTTAAGACAGTACATGGCATTTGAATGGTTTCTGTGAATTACTGTGGTGAATTACTATTCACATGGAGTTTCCTAAGAAGTCATTCATTGGTGGGATAACTATTTTTCCCATGGTTTAATTCCTCCCCAGAAAGCATGTAGTGTGTGTAAATTTGAACATATATCTTGTCCTGTGGATCTTTGGTTAGGTAAGGTTGGAGTGGTATCTCAAGTATATTAGATCAGAGTGTTACTTAAAATCCTATTATATTGTGCTCTTTGGCAGCACATATACTAACATCCTATTATATGTTCCAGTGGTGCGTGGTTGTAGACTGGCCAGAATGGTTCCTTCACAGAATGAATATCTAGAAAGTATGTAGCCATGTTTTCAAATCTCCCTATATGAAGATTAATACACATTATTAATACATTTGGAAAAGGTCTAGTGGAAAATATCTTAGGGCTCTTAGTTCTGGAGAAGTTGCTGGAAATCTAATGTAGCTGAACATGCTATAGTAAGCATTAAATTGAGTCTTGATGGCTGTGGAGATGAAGAAAACTTAGAAACAACAACAATACTGTGTTTGAAGGGTGCATACTAATTTTAAAGATGGTTAGTGTAATTCTAATCTGGCCATTAATTTTTAAAGTTGAAGTATGACTTTTCATAACAAATACATTGTGAATTGACGGTTTTAGGTATGTATAGTTAATGAGCATATAATGCTTATTTTTTCCTCTGGAAGTTTTAAGTTGCCGTTTAGAAGCTTAGAAATAATTAGAAAGTTTTGGGGCCATGCATCTGAATAATTGAGTTGAATAGGGAATAAATTAAAAATTGAAAATAATTAAAACGTTGTATTAAGCTGTGATTAAAACCAGGTTGCCAGATAGTGTTTGCTTTTGGAATTGAACTGTAATATATGAATACAGAAAAATGAGTATTTTTAGCAAGTGGCTAAGATTGAGAGTTATAGGAACCTTTTTTTTCCCCCTTCTGTGTGTTAGCCAAATAAAAATAAAGAATACTTGCCTTCAAGTATTTATTCTTTTCTTTTGACCAAAGGTCTCACTATATGTCCCAAGCTATTTTCAACTTCGTAATTCTCCTGCCTCAGCTTTCTGTATATTTCTATTATGCCTAGCTTTTATTTTATTTTAATTCATTTATCTGTCTAAAATTCTTTGGATCTATGGCAGTTGAGCTCCCTCTATTGTTATCTTAGCCATCCATATTACCTTTAAAGCAAAATAATCTTTTAAGACAAATGAATCAGAGATAGTTTTATAATGTAGAAATATCCTGTGGTACATTCTGCAACTTTATTACAGTTTTTGGTACTAAACAAAATGAAGGTTTTTTAATTGCTTATAAAAATGTGCAGTTGACAATAGAAAAAACTTGGAATGAGAAGTAGATATACCTTTTCTTGGGGGTGGGGAGGGAGATGGTAGAGGGACTATAGGAGTTTATATATGACCTATTACTGTTCTAGAGCCCTGGAAGATCATTTCAGCAATCTTCCCATTCAACCTCATTTGACTTTTGGATCCTGTGGCTGTATTTAGGTAACAGACTGTGCTTCCACTAGGGGGCAGCAAAGGCCAAACTGTTGGATTTCAGCTTGGCATAAAGCTTCACAGCAAATGTGAAGCTGTAGAGGAGTTAAAATTCCTGACTTGCGAAGGGTTCTTGATTTTTAGGAGATAATGGTATTTTAAAGAATCAAGCGTTTAAAGAAGTCTTGGATTGGTGTGCAAATTAAATGATAGTGAAAAGACAGTTCCCATGAGCACTAAGTTTACAGTGAATTTCTTTAAAAAATTTTATTATAAGCCATGGGTGCAGGTGGCTCACGCCTGTAATCATAGCTACTCAGGAGGCTGAGATCTGAGGATTGCAGTTCAAAGCCAGCCTGGGCAGGAAAGTCCATTGATACTCTTTATCTCCAATAAACCACTCAGAAAACTGGAAGTGGTGCTGTGGCTAAAGTGGTAGATCACTAGCTTTGAGCTGAAGAGCTGAGGGACAGTGCCCAGGCCCAGAGTTCAAGCCCCATGACCAACAACATTATTATAAAAATTATTATTATAAAAATTATTATAAAGGTGATGTACAGAGGGGTTATAGTTACATAAGTAAGGTAATGAGTACGTTGCTTTTTGAAAGTGTTACCCCTCCTTCATTTTCTCCCACTTTTCCCCCTTAACTCCCCTTCCCCACAAATTGTAAGAATGATACAAAACACAGATTTTAAAACCATATGAAATTTGATTTACTTATTTTCAATCACTGGTATATTTTATTACAAAACTAATGCATATTCACTATAATGCTAGACAATGACAAAATATCTGAAATCACCTGAAACTCACCACTCTGAAATTTATTTTATGTATACTTGATATGTGTACTTGTACTCACACATGTAGATATACGTACATATATGCTCACGCACACGTATACACATATATGTATATACACATGTATATACCCATATACATACATCACATACACATACTCATATGATACACACATAGTTGATGTATAATATATACATACATATGCACATATGTCTATATCTGTCTATATCTCATCTATCTATCTATCTATCGATCTATCTATCTAACTATCTATCTATATTTATCTGTCCTCACACATCTTTTTAAATTAGTAAAGCAGAATTGCTCTAAATAGATCCTGGGATAACCTGACTTGTAATGGCAAGGCAGATATACACAGATCATATAGTAGGATAGCTGTTGAAGGTTTGAATGGGAAAACTTTATTTAATAGCGAGAGACTCAACTATAATAGCATGTGTTGGGGAATCTGAATTGGAGTAGTTAAGGATTGGCATCTCTTGGCTAAAAGGCTAAGAATAGCAGGGCTGTGTTTCTCCTGTTGTCCTTAGTTTGAAGGTTATTTCAGTAGAGGTGTATGGAAACCAACAGTGTTGATGTCTAATTTTATCCAGAACCAGGAGTGAGCTGTAGGCTGTGGAGATAAGCTTCTTGACCTCTCCCTCTTGAGTATCCTTCTGGCATAATTGAAAAAGCAGCAGATTAGAAGTTTAGTTTTTGACATATACACCAGCTGATTTTTAGGCCAACTTTTTGGTCTCAGGAATTTAACTTATATTTGCTTCCTCTTTTGTTTGTTATTAAAACTGACAGATTAATGTAAAATGAAGTTCTTCAAAAACTTCTTAAAAGTTGTACAAATTCAGCATATTAACACTGATAGTAGAAATAACAATTTTGTTTCAGATGCAGAGCTCTTGATGTGATGCTGGGAATATCTCTTAAATAAACTCTAGATATAAGAAATTTTGAAGTATAGGGCTTTTGAGAAACATTATGTCTTGTGCTTGGGGTATTGCCTTTGAAATCTAAAAGTCACTTCATGCATAAATAGACTTTATTCTTTCAAGTATTAAATAAAGTGAAATGTGATTATATTTTCTTTGTAAAAGTACTTTTATTCTTGAAAGCTTACTGGAAATTTTTGTGTTTGAGCATGTGGTAACTAACTTGTGCTTTACTATATTTTGGGGAAAGGTCTATATATAGATCTTGATAGGTAGATTATGTAGATAGGTAGATGGCTATTGATTTTTAGTATGTTCTTGCCATGTGGTATTTAACTTTGTTTTAGTTTTCCATTTTCTTTGGTAATATTCTCTTAAATGGTATTCTGACAGCCTGTGTTAACCTATGTTAGCATACTGTTATCTATAGATTTAAAGGATTTGGCCATGGCTCTTTTGATCCTGTTCTGTCTGGATGTATGGAATGAGCAGACAAGATATATGAAGGTAATGATCCTCATTCCTGATCATGAGTCAATCAGAAGATCGCAGAACATTTAGTGGATGCCTTTGCTTCTCCTAGAGATTTCTCCAACTCCATGATCATAGTTCTTGCTCAGTGTAGGCCTATGGGTCTATTTATTTAATTCTGCTCTCTGAATTTGGATATAGAAGGTTAAAAGGGTTGATAGTCCCTAGCCCACTCTCTCCTTTTTTCCTAACTATTCCTATCAGAAATAGAAAAGCTTGCTTTGATTTCAGGACTCTGGCTACCCAGAGAGTATTTTGGTAAATGAATTGCTTAATGCTCAGTGTTAACTGTATGCGCTCTTATTTCACGCTTATGGTGTTGCTGGTAAGGTTGTCACTGTATTACTTTCTATACTACAGCTTCTGCCTTCATGGATGACTTAGTTGAATACTGTTAAGGTGGAATGTTTTAAATTCATATTTGTTTGTAGTAAATGAAGTTGAACACCTTTGGCTCATATAATTTGGCATTTATAATGAAGGAGGTATTTGTTAATAGTTTTTCATCTATAAACAATTAGATAAAAGACTAATTATATATTTAATTTTATGCTCTTCCTCTTGTTTACTATAAAAGCAAAAAATCAGGAAGGCAAAAGTATATAGTAGACTCTCAAATGCTGCCTTTTCCCCATAAAAAACTTGATTCTCTACCCATGATCTGTGCCCCTAAAATATTAGAGTGATTGGTAATTCTTTAGGTCTCAGATGTCATTTCCCGAGGGCAATTTGTGACACCTAGACTACTAGGTAGAGCTCTTTCTTATTCTTACTGCTTCCTGAGGGCTTCTGTATTGTTACTGCTATTATTTATTAAAAAAATCTTCTCATTGTTTCATTGCCTGACATACATTGGCTCTTTTATAAAAAAAAATTAATGGATTAACTAGAAGAAAACATTCTGACATGTTTTACTGTTTTTCTGGATCCGTTGCATATATGGTTATTTGTTTTTTCTTTTATACTGGAGTTTTAAAGTTGTAGGTTGAGTTTTAAAGTTACTTTGAAAAGTAAAAATTACCCTTCAATCTTCAAGATAAAATACAGTTTGATCTCTCAGTAAGTTGTACAGGCAGTTTTCCTCTCCATCATCAGTGATAAAATTTTACTTGCAGACTGGTTACTTAACCTTTATAGAGACATCCAACCTTCTCCAAAAAAGGCTCCAATGTACTTTTGAAATAATTTTCCCTGCTGTCCATCTTTGTATTCTGGCTTTGGAACACTTTGCTTTTTCCATCTTCTTTTCACATTATCTTTTAGATATGTACCTGAAATCCATCTTCTTTGTCATACATTGTTTTCTCTGACTATTCCTGAATAGTCTCTTTTTTCGCTGCTGTCTTTTGGCATCAACTTAACATTGTTTATTCTCCTGAAGCTCTTACTTAGGTGTTTGACCTTCCTAGTCAACTTGAGTTATAGATCACTGAAGATGGGAATTTTCATTTTTTGTTTAAGGCTTTAAATTCACTAGGAACTATAATGAATGAAGAAAATTTGGTAGAGTATGGTCACATCTGTAGTTTTCTGTTGCCACAGAAGATTAACAACTGGTGGTATTCCTAACTAGATGAACTAGATTCCATGTTATGTACTCATTATGCTGTTAAAAATGCAAACTGCATATTGCATTGATGTGTTGCTTTTTTGTTAGGTACAAAGAGGGTGGTGAGGCACTTTTAATTCTGCTTCCTTCAGAAGAGCAAGAGATGGTACAGCAGCTTCTCCAGAAGAAAGTACCTGTGAAGGAAATCAAGTAAGAGCTACTGATGTTTATGTTCTTGTTACTCCTAACAATGGAGCATGAAATCATTTTGCTCATTGTTGCCATGGCTGTTTCCTACCTCCCCTATATTACATTTAGCTTTCTGGTTTATGATTTTGAAGGGGAAAAAAGATTTTAGTTTTTCTGTCTTTAGAACATTTAGGTTCATGGCAAAATTGAGAGATAGTGCAGAGAGTTCTTCTATCTTCCCTGCTTCCACATACATAGCCTCCTCCAATATCAATATCCCCCAACAAATTGATGCCTTTGTTATAGTATGTGAATCTCTATGATGTTTCAGTTTCACTCATGTCCATTGTCTACTTAAGGATTTCTCTTGATGTTATATGTTTATAGGTTTGTACAAATATGTAGTGACATGTGACAGGTGTCTCTTGTTATAGTATGATATTGTCAATGCCCTAAAAATTCACATATGTATTCCACATATTCTTCTTTTCTCCACTAGCCCCTAGCAACCACTGATTTTTTACTCTCTGCACAGCGTACCCTTTGTATGTAGATTTCCCAGTTTGGCTTTTTTCACTTTTTTTCCATGTCTTTTCATGTCTTAAATACTTATTTCTTTCAGTGCTGAGTAATATTCTAGATGTAACAGTTTATCCATTTACTTACTATAAGGCAGCTTTTTTTTTTTTCTCCAGTACTGGGGTTTGAACACAAGGTCTTATGCTTGCTTTACAGGCTTTCTACTGCTGAGCCATGCCTTTAGCCCTTTTTTGTACTGGTTATTTTTGAGATATGGTTTCACTCCTACCAGGCCCCATGCTTGGACTGGATTGTGATCCCCTATTTTATACTTTCTATTATATCTGGGATGATATGTCTGGGATGACAGATGCATGCCATTATACCTAGCTTGACTTTTCTGTCCAGGCTGTCCTATAACCATGATCCTCCTAATTTCAGCATCCTCTGTAGATGTGGGTTGAGAAGGGTTCTTGCAAACTTTTTTGCAAGAGAGAAAAAGAAATTAGTAACACCTGCCATTTACAAAAAATGACATTAGATTTCTTTTTTTTCTATTTCATTGTTTAATCTCCTATGGTAAGCTGCATTTAAACTTTATAAGGTTAAGAAGAAATCAATACTGATTGAGGTGTTAATCTGCGTGTCCTTTAGCATGAGGTATTCAGAGAAATTGTCAGAAATAGTCTTTCTTCTTGAATTACTCATAACATGCAGGAGTCAAATGTAAGGTATAGTGTGAGTTGGTTCCTTAAAGAATGTTAGACATTTAAAAATATACTGAAGGAAAGAGGAAAAAGCTATGTTCTATTTATAATTTTTAAGATCAAGACTTCTTAGTTTAACTTTTTGTTGTTGTTAAAAAAGAATCAATCCAGAAAAGCTTATAGACGTCCAGAAAAAATTGGAATCCTTTTTAGCTCAAGATCAAGATTTGAAAGAAAGAGCTCAAAGGGTAAGTTATCTTTAAATTGAATACTTTTCATCTTAGAATGTGATACATAATAAATTATCATTTCCTGCTTCTTTATTATATGCTTCAAATATTTAAGCAGTGTCATTTAAAAAATTATATCTTAGAAGCTTTGAGAATAATACTTACATTACAAAACATACATGAATTTTATGATGTTGTGATATAATTAGTAATTAGAAGGTCATTCCATTATTAGTCACGAAATAAATGCCAGAAATACGTTGTTTCACTGGTTCATACATACAGCAAATGAGGCTTTCAGAGCAAAATAGCACATTGAAATAAATGATGTGATTTATTGTCACACATGGTTTGGCAGAATGGCTGTGTTGCCAGCAGCAACAAGATATCTAGTTTTACAGACATGATTTCCTAGCTTTTGATTATAATCTGGAGAGAACACAATGATAAGCAACTAGAGTGAGTTCTTGTGGATAGATGTAGGGGAAAAAAAATACCTCTGACTTGGTACTATTCATTGTCATGCCTAAGAAGTCAGAGAAAATGGTTTAGAGATTACTCGGTAGAAAGGATTAATGCAATGCTAGAAGAAAAGGCAGAGTTTAAGGAAAAGGAAAGAAGGATTAAATACACTTTACAAAAATATTTTTAAAATGAAAATACTTGGTTAGATATATTTTGTTACCTGTTTATGTTATAAACCAACAAAAGATCAGGAATCTAGTTACAGTTTGCAAAACTGAAATATAATTTTGTTTTGTTTAAGCAAAAATGGGAGAAAAGAATTCCAAGTTGGTGATAAATGATTTGATATTATGATTAAAAATAGAAAAGTTATAGGAACCTTTTTTCTTTTTTCTGGTCACAATTTAGCTTCACCTGATATAGTTTTACTGAAAACACTATCAGAAGTGGTAGTATTCTATATGAGTTTTCTCATTGTCATAGCACTGTAAGTTCCGGGTATGAATACTACCTTTTTGATAGCTAAGGAAATAGCCAGTTAGAGAAATAAGAAACTTGTTCAGCTAATAAGATAACTCAGCATAGATCTTCCATATTTGTCTTCTTCTTTTTTTTTTTTTTGTCGGTGGTGGGGACTGAACTCTGGGCCTGGACGCTGTCCCTCAGCTCTTCAGCTCAAGGCTAGCACTCTACCACTTGAGCTATAGCGCCACTTCTGGCTTTCTTTTGCTTATGTGGTGCTGAGGAATCAAACCCACGGCCTCATCCATGCAAAGCAAGCACTCTACCACTGAGTCACCTTCCCACCACTCTCCATATTATTTTTATGTCCCTATTTTCCTGTTGTACTTTATTGCAATTAAACTTTTAGAGTAGTTTTTGGAGAGATTATGTTCTGTGTTGAGCTGAATTAATGAAGGCAAATGCAAACAAAATCTTTTCAAATATTACAGTTGTAAAAGGTAACTTTTATTTTTGGGTATATGTACAGAACCAGAATATGCTGACCTATGTTATATTTTTTCCCGACTTACTACTGACACTATTCCTTTGGTAAATTTTTTTTTTTATCTGACTCAATTTTCCATCTCTGCTACCATTTATTTTACAGTGTTTTGTCTCCTACATACGTTCAGTATATCTTATGAAGGATAAAAAAGTATTTGATGTAAGCAAGTTACCTATTCCTGAATATGCATTGTAAGTATTCATAATATAGGTATAATAGTAAATCATCCAGGTCAGGGGAATTTGTTTTCAGCCTGTTTCTCTGAGAATTGTTGTTTACACTACTTTACCTTAACGATTTACAGAAAAGAAGGTAAAATCAATTCTGTAGAAAATAACCTGGGCATTAGTTCTTTCCAGGAAAAGGTGCATTATTTGTATGTTCTGTATTTTCTTTATAATTTGATACTTGTTTTTCTTTCTGATTTAGAAAGTTTTATTGAAGTACCAAGTAGATCCAGAATTTTATATAATTTATAAATTTATTCTCAAAAGTTAATTAGTTTTCACAAAGTGAATACATCTGTAAATAGCATGAACATGGAGAAACAGGAAATCAACAGTGTTGTAGCAGCTTCTTCATTTACCTTCCCAGTTATAATACTCTGTCCACTACTCACTTTTAGCAAAGAGCACTCACTCTTCTGCTTTCTAATATCATCGATTACTTTTACTACCACACCTTGGCTCTGGTTTCTTGGTCATTATAGTAGTCTTAGAGTTGTTTTTTTTTTTTTGTTGTTGTTGTTGCAGAGGTCTTTTACCATCTTGGTTAGGTTTATTCCTTGATATTTTATTATTATTTCTTTATTTTGGGGACTTTATGAACAGGATCATTTTCTTGATTTCATTCTCATTGTGTGCATTATTAATATGTAAAAAGGCTACTGAATTTTGTGTGCTGTTTTTATATCCTGATATTTTGCTGAAAGTGTTTATTTATCAGAGGTGGTTTTTTTTTTTGGTAGCGTCTTTGGAGACTTTCAAATTTACTCATATTATGAGTAAATAGGAATAGTTGCCTACTTCCTTTTGTGTTTGTATTCCTTTTTGCTTCTTTTTCTTATATAATTGCTTTGGCTTAGAATTGAAGCATTGTTGGGCTTCAATTACAGGCTCATGCCTGTAATCCTAGCTATTCAGGAGGCTGAGATCTGAGGATAATGGTTCAAAGCTAGCCCTGGCAGGAAAGACTGTGAGACTCTTAACTCCAGTTAACCACCAGAAAACCAGAACTGGGCCTGTGACTCAAAGTGATGGAGCATAGCCTTGAGCAAAAGAGCTTAAGGATAGTGCCCAGACCATGAATTCAGGCCCCATGACTGACCAAAAAAAAAAAAGAAAAAAGAACAAGGAATTGAAGCGCTATATTAAGACTAGAGAAAGGGCACACTCTTTCTTGTTATAGAAAATGTTTTCAGTTTTCCCTATTCAGTATGTTGCCTATAGATTAGTCACATTTAAAAAATATTTCATAAAGTAAAATTGTGTTTTTTATAACAGTGATTGTATCGTATTATGTTTCAGAAGGAAAGGGTAGGGTAGAGATGATATTCTAGTTTACTTTTTGAAGAGAACAGTGTTTTGTCCCTCCAGCTTTTTTTTTTGTGTGTGTAATTTTTAGTAACTTACATTTAACAAAGTAATTTCATGTAGTTAATTGAACCTTCACAGCAACTTGAGATAGTCCTGAAAGATGTTGTTACATGGTATGAAGAAGCTGAGACTGAGTGTTGAATTGAAAATTGGGTGTAGTGTTTGAATAGTGATCATCTTGCTTATGTTTCATTCTTCTTTATTTTTATTTATTTATTTAGTTTTGTTGGTTGTGGGGCTTGAACTCTGGGCTTGGGCTCTTCAGCTCAAGGCGAGTGCTCTACCACTTGAGCTACAGCGCCACTTCTGGTTTTCTAGTGGTTTATTGGAGATAGAAGTCTCACAGTCTTTCCTGCCTGGGCTGGCTTTGAACCGTGATCCTCAGATCTCAGCCTCCTGAGTAGCTAGGATTATAGGCATGAGCCACCGGTGCCCAGCTCTTTTTTTATTTTTATACAATATTCTCTAAAGGAAAATTTTGTTTTGGGCAAGTATTCTATACTTTTTGGCATGCCTTTTGAATCATCTAACCTGTTGGTATTGATGTGTATCTCAGAGGAATATTTTCTTAAAAAAAAGCTTTGGTAATCTCTATTCTTGAGAAATGATTCCATAATGTCATAGGCATAATAACATTACTGCAGTGAGATAATTCTTTTTTTTTCTTTCTATTTTTTTAAGATCTCTTGGTCTTGCTGTGGCACCTCGGGTAAGATTTCTTCAGAAAATGCAGAACAAGCCCACCAAAGAATCTGTAAGGAGCCAAGGCGATGATGTCATTGAGTCCAGAGCTCCTTCCCTCACCAATGATGAAGTGGAAGAATTTAGAGCCTATTTCAGTGAGAAAATGTCCATACTTCAGAAGGGTGGGAAGAGTCTCAGAGGATCAGACTGCAGAGTGGCTAGTGATAGTAGCAATGAAGAAGAGGAAGGGGAGGAGGAGGAGGAAGAGGAAGAGGAAGAAGAAGAGAAGGAGGATGACAAAATGAAAGAGAAATTAGGAAAAGCAAGAGGATCTCAGACTGAATCTGTTCCCAGTACTGACAAGGTAAAGAAGGTCAAGGAAGTTCCTGTGCAGTTCCTTAGCGGTGGAGATGAAGAGGAAGAAGATGGACCTGATGCTGATTTCCTTACAGTGAAGCGGCGTGATGTATTTGGGTTGGATCTTAAAGAGAATAAAGCATTACCGGTAAGGTTATTCTCAGTAGAAGGTCTTTTGTTATGCTTTTTTATTGTAAGCCAATTGTTGATTTTGAGGAACAAAAGAAAGGAAACTATGAGAAATTTAAAAATGACTTTCTTTGCAATAGTTTTCCCCTTTCCCCTTTCTCTATACTTAAATGGCAAGGATTTTTTTCATCTTTTTCAGAACTTCGGGAACTCTAAGGGATTGTCAACTACAATCTTATTTGTTGGTTTTCTGATGTGGGTTTTTTTTTTTTTTTTTTTTGCCAGTTCTGGGGCTTGAACTCTGGGCCTGAGTGTTGTCCCTGAGCTCCTTTTGCTGAAGGCTAGCACTCTACCACTTGAGCCACAGTGCTACTTCAGCCATTTCTGTGATTAATTGGATATAGAATCTAATGGACTTTCCTGCCCTGGCTGATTTTGAACCACAACCCTCAGATCTCAGCCTCCTGAATAGCTAGGATTACAGGCATGAGCTACTGGTGCATGCCTTCCTGATGTGTTTTGAAAGTAATCAGAGACATGACTTTCAGAGTTTAGGAGTCATAATAGTGAGGTTCTTCGTTTAAAGTGTGAGAATCCTTTATTGTGATTCTTAGCATACAACTTTGATTAATTTGTTGTAAAGAGTACTTGTAATTAAAGTCTTTCTAAACATAAAATTTACTTTTTTTTGGCTGGTTTTCTAGTGGTTTTTATTGGAGATAAGAGTCTCATGGACTTTCCTGCCCAGGCTGGCTTTAAACTGTGATCCTCAAAACTCAGCCTCCTGAGTAGCTAGGATTACAGGCGTGAGCAACCAGCGCCCGGCATCTGACTCATTCTTTGTGCAATATTTTGAAAGATCCCAAGACTCTTAAATACTACATTTTGAGCCATGAAACTTAGAAAAGTTAATACTAATAATTTATCAGATAATGATTTCTTACTCAGTCTCTGTGTATATTGCTTAAACATTTAGTCTGTGTATTTATGTATCTATGTATCTATCTATCATCTGTCTATCTGGACTGATCCTGGGCTTAAACTCTAGGCCTTGCTGTTGTCCGTGATCTTATTTGCTCAAGGATAGTGCTCTACCACTTGAGCCACAGCTCCACTTCCAGTTTTTTGAGTAGTTAATTAGAGATAAGAGTCTCTCAGATTTTCCTCCTCAGGCATTTGTTGAAGTGTTTCATCTCTAATCCTGAAATAAACCTAAACAAATTAGCTCTTCTTCCTCAGTGCTATGAGATTTTAGTTTTGTTAACTATTTTTTTTGTTTTGTTTTAAATTAAAGCCCAGAATGTTTTGTCTTGGACAAAGCAAGTTTATCTTGTGTTGAATGGTTAACAAATCACTAGTGTCTCTGGGTGTCTGTCCTCACTCCTAGAAGGCCGCTGCTGTTTTTTTTTTCCTTTCCTTCTTTAAGCTTGCTTGTTGGCTGTTAGACTAGAGGTGACAGTCTTGATATACTGTTGGGCAGAGAATCTGCTGTATTTTGTTTGGCATAACAAATAACTAAAAACAGAATGCTATTTTGTTATAATTCTAATAAGCCAACCAGATGATGATTCTTATTGTGCATGAGTTAAGTTTTAGAAGTAAGTTTATTGGTTAAACTGGGGACTGTAAATGGCCCAGGAATATATGAAGACATTCCTAGAAGTTAGATATGCTTGGATAGAAATAATTTACTGCAACTCTGCTTAAAGCACATGACAAATGAAGCTTATATTTTCAGGGTTGATCAGTCTTGGTACGATTTTCCTTTCTGTTGGCTTATTCGTTCCTCATGGTTCACATTCAGTGAATTGATTTCTCAGTGGCACTCTCTGCAGTACCTTCCTGTAAATAATCACTCTTACCTGTTTATTTCCTAAATTCAAATAGCATATTTCTTCCTATATCTTTGGGGGTGCTGAACAGAGTAGTTCTTTCACCTGCATAGGTTTTTATACCTACTGGGTTTTATCACGGGAAACAGTAGAACAGAGGAATATTTTCTTCCTTGCTGATTTGGAAGGTGCACTTTCAGAATGTTTGTAAGAAGTGGTTGCATACTCCAAAAGCACTTTTTAAGAATTTGCTAAATTATGTTTTCTCTTGTGATTTGGATCAGCTCTATTTTTTTTTTTTGCATCTTTTGATCTGAATTGCCTTCTTACTTGCTGACATTTTGATAAATAGGATTTTGCAAATCAAAGTAAGTAAATGCTCTTAGGTTGTTTAGCTCTACTTCACACCCATATCATCAGAGATATTTTTTCCCCCTTCTACAAAATATTAGAGAATAGGTATTTTATTGCCCAAAAATATGTTATAAGAATTTAGGAACTCACCTATCTATTTTCCAATGGGTTCTATTGGCATTAGCTTAGCTATTAAGATTTACAGGTTTCCCCCATCTGTTTTTCCCCCTGTTCCTCACTAACAGGGACTGTTTTATGGCAGAAATTATAGCTGGATCTGGTTTTATTCCTTTACTGAAGAGAGATTATTTCTAGGTTTTTATGAAGAATCTGAGATTCTCCCCTACTTTCAGGTTGACATGTTACCCTGCCATACTTTTATATTTGTTACTGGGTAACTCTTAGCATGCAGGCAGCATGAACTTCAGGTTTGCGTGGTTTTTCTGCCTCCAGGCTCCACAGGCTCATGCATGTTATGCTAGGGTTGGTTCTGAGATCCCAGGTGTGTGTGTGTGTGTGTGTGTGTGTGTGTGTGTGTGTGTGTGTGTGTGTGTGTGTGTGTGTGTGTGTGTGTGTTCTGAGATCCCAGGTGTGTGTGTGTGTGTGTGTGTGTGTGTGTTCTGAGATCCCAGATCCCAGGTGTGTGTGTGTGTGTGTGTGTGTGTGTGTGTTCTGAGATCCCAGGTGTGTGTGTGTGTGTGTGTGTGTGTGTGTGTGTGTGTTCTGAGATCCCAGGTGTGTGTGTGTGTGTGTGTGTGTGTGTGTGTGTGTGTGTGTGTGTCGGGTAGTGGAGCTTGAACTCTGGACCTGGGCGCTGTCCCTGAGCTCTTCAACTCAAGGCTGTCACTCTACCACTTGAGCAACAGCGCCAGTTGAGAAAATGTAATCTTAGAAAGGTCCCAGGTTTGTGTGTGTGTGTGTCGGGTAGTGGAGCTTGAACTCTGGACCTGGGCGCTGTCCCTGAGCTCTTCAACTCAAGGCTGTCACTCTACCACTTGAGCAACAGCGCCAGTTCTGGTTTTCTGGTAGTTAATTGGAGATAAGAGTCTCATGGAGTTTCCTGGTGCCCCCCCCCCCCCCCCCCAACCATGATCCTCAGATCTCAGCCTACTGAGTAGCTAGGATTACAGGTGTGAATCACCAGCACATGGGTAGAAAAGTCCCAGTTTTATGAGAGGCCTGATAGTAATCTTGCCAATCTTCAACTTTGGGTTCATACCCCTCCCTCCCAGCCACTGTAGGCTCAGATTGAAGAAAATTTGCATAGAGTCATCTGGCATGGTGAGCTACACTCTTAACAGATTGAACCTTCTGCAGGTAAGACAAAATTTTGGAAAAAGTACTTTAGAATGAGCAAAACTTAGCCTTCCCAAGGAAAGACTGGCACAGTGTGGATTTTATATATTAGCAGCTTTGCCTCTAAGGATGTGCTACAGTCATAAGCTGAGGGGACAAACTCCATTAGGAAGTGTGCATTCTTCTTGGTCTGAAGAAATAGGAGGTGGAGGTAGGGTGATAAGTCTACCCAAGGACGAGGGAGACTTCTGGAAGATAGGCAAAGAAAGCTCCATATCAATTCTAGCAACTGATAGAGAAACCAGACTTTAAAAATTAGTAGATATTTAAAAAGCATTAAGAAGCTGGACATCTCTATTAATCTTGACCTAGTTGGAAAATTAGAGCACTATATGCAACATTTGCAGAATGTTCCTTCTTTGGTCACATGGCATCTTCATAGTGCATTCATTGTATACTAGGTTAAAAGTTTCGAAACAGTTGAAAGCATTGAACTCACAAATGATACGTACTCTGCAACTGGATTAAAATAGAAATCAATAGGACATCTAGGAAGACATTACATATTGAGAAATCGAGGGTGTTAAGATCTGAAAATTATGCTCTTCTTAATTACCTATTTTTGACTTCTTAGCGCTTGAGTTGGCAAATGTACTCTTAATAGTGGGGGGTAATACAGAGGATGGGCTGCATGTTGAAATGCATACCTAGAAATTTTGAGGGCTAGAATGGTGCTGAAAATAAAATATATACCCAGTTGGTGAAATATTTTGTTAGAGTATTATTAAAATGATCTCATAGGTATTTAGGTATTGTTGATAGAAGTCTTTTCCTACTGCTGCCAAAGTTAACTTCACTGTACAAGTGGGTTGCTAACCAAGGAGACTGATTTATCAGGTTCAATTTTACAGTCTTCTTGATACTTAAAGGTCACAGACTGATCCTCTTCGTTAATTTGAAAGAGAAACTATGTACGTTTCCCATTGAACACTTCCTTTAATTGCTTGGCTTTCATTCTTCACACTTCTTGGAGGTGTCAGAGCTAACTTTTTTCTGTAAATGTCAGTACATGTAGCATGTGTAAGACAAAGTCTGGAACATATTTAATGTGTAAAATTTTGTTGATGAAATTGAGTTATTTGTCATGGAAGACACCGTATCAAAAGTATTTTGCAGGCTGGGAAGATGGCTCAGTGGTAGAGCGCTTGCCTTGCATGCCTGAGGCCCTGGGTTTGATTCCTCAGCATCACATAAAGCAAAATGAAAAAAGCCGGAAGTGGCTCTGTGGCTCAAGTGGTAGAGTGCTAGCCTTGAGCTGAAGAGCTGAGGGACAGTGCCCAGGCCCAGAGTTCAGGCCCCACGACTGGACCCCCCCCCCCCCCCCAAAAAAAAGTATTTTGCTGGGTGCTGATGACTCATGCCTGTAATCATAGCTACTCAGGAGGCTAAGATCTGAGGATCACAATTTGAAGCCATTCTGGGTTGGAAAGTCCAAGAGACTCTTACCTCTGATAAAGCACAAAAAAACCCACCAAAA